GTTTGTAGGCAAATTAGCTATAATTTCGCGCTGAAGTTGCTAGAGTGCCAGACCATTATAAATAGGGAAGCAGGTTGTTTACCACGGCAGTAGAAGTGATTTTTTTCTGAAGATATGGGTAAACAATGCGATTTAACAGCCTTTGAACGTGGCTGTTAAATCGCATTGTTTATCCACACATATATATATATAATATATATACACACACACATACACACAAGTACACTCAAACATTTTTATCACAAGTTGTCCATCTACTGAAAGTCAACGTATTTTCTTATTTGGCACCCACCACACATGTGCTTATCAAAAATAAGTTCCTATGAAAACATTCAGGATTTCACTTTGCCTGGAAAGGAATTACTCAACCAGAAGAAATAATCAGATTTGCCTATTGCAATCAGAAAAGACATTGTGCACTGAAATGGTAAAAGAAAGTTATATTTTCTTCCAGCTACATAAACATTCCTAGAACCAATGACTGCTGGACACAAGTCAGGATACTTTGATAAAGTAATAAAAAAAATATTCTCTTCAAACCTGAGAAAACCCACTCTATGCTGTCTCTGTATTTATCTTCATAGAGTAGAATATGTACTGTGCATATTGTTCAAGATTATGATTGACTACTAGCTGTTAACCTAAGGACGTGTAAAATCACAACTTCCAAAATTGTATGTTCAGCCAAAGAAATATTTGTGTGAAAGTTTTAGATAAAAGTTTCTTACCTCTTTTAATCTAGTTAAATGCCTACCAAGCATTAATGAGAGAGCCTATGTATTCATTGCAGGTGAGACAATCTATAATAATAAAAAGCATAATATGCTAATTAGACCCTAATTAGACCAGACATCCTTCTGTCCTTCCGGATGAAGCTGGGGCTGCAAGGGAAGCCCACGTCCCGGGTGCCAGAGGGAAGCTGGTGCCGGTAGCCGGGGAAAGGAAGGCCTACTCTTGCATGAATTTCATTCATTGAGCCTCTAGTATTTAATAATGACTGTTCATTTTGAACCTTGTAAATTATGCTCCTAGTTGGACTTGTGTGACAGTCTCCCAGAGAACGACGTGAAAGTGTCTTAAATTACACAGGACAAGATGGAGATCACTTGACAACTTCACAAAAAGAAAATAGACAGTGGAAACACAGACACATTATTTAATCAAAAGGAGTTAAAGGGATAGAAACATAAGATTACAGCCAGAAATCTGAAATAGTGCCACTTGAAGGTAAATTATAGCCACTGAAAAACTTATTTTGTGACTTTTATTTCTTAAAGTGCTACTGTCTCCTAGATTTCCTTGCAGTTGATCTTCTGAATACCTTAGTTTTGAGTATGCTGTATTGACTATATGAAATTAACAAAAATTTCCTCATAATTTACTGGCACCTTTAGATAGAATTAATTAGAAAAAAGTTGTTTTGTGCACTCAT